GGAGCAGGGAAGCATCATCCTTATTTACAACCTGTCCTACAAATGTTCCCAGCACTCAGCAGGCATATCTTACCAAACACATACTATGGACGTCAAAGGCCCCTTGAGACCCCACTTTTTTGCGATAATTTTTAAATGCGTCAACTCTCGTTGACAATATTCTGGCAATGTGTGTTTCGGAACCTGCCGAAACTTTTATTACTAAGGTATTTTGACGCCAAACGATTATTAAAGGTACTTCTCATTCACTCGTAATGTTAAATTTCACGGAACGAATCTGCTGTTTGGGTAGAGGCTACGCGCTCATGGGGCGGAGCCACGTAATAACGTCAGCGCTAAGCTCCGCCCTACCCCTCCGGCGCTCCTTCCCGGCGACCGGTCACTCGCGTCTCTCGCTCCATTCAGGCTTGATGGTGGGCGGTAACTGGTAGCGGTAGCGGGCGCTGGTAGATGGCATTTAGAGCAGATGGCGCTGGTGGCGGGGCTCGAGTGTGCACAGTGATGCAAATGGGGTTCACGAGTGGCCATAAATACCGAAAATTCAAGTTTACCAAATTGAGTTAATTGCGATATGGCCGAGTAGACAAATGTTTGGGGCATCTGAAATCACATGGTTTTCATGTTTTTGTCAAAACTGGCCTCCCGCCTCGTGTATAATCGTCAGAAGTCGTGACATTTTCTAGGTCGTAAAATGACGGTCAGACACTCGCAAGTTCAAACGCCGCTGGTTTGCGTTCATTTCGTACAAATTGAAAAAATTATGCATGAGAATGATCCCCAAAGCCTTCTGCTTCTAATGTCGGGTCAAAGAAAGCCGTATCTCATTCGCTTTGGCGGCAATCTGACTATTTATCATCATGTTGCAATCGCAGTTTTTTACTAAGAAAAAAAAATGCTTTCGTTTCACCTACAGCACTTAACACAGTGTGTGCCCGTTAGTCCACCATACCATAGCCTTCCCTAATCATTTCTGAGTCGCATCGTGAAAGAATTAAGGCGCTAGCACAGGGCTGACCGGCGCTACAGAGGTTTTTGTCCGGGCGGTCGGGTGCCGCAGTGGGCGCGCAGTGGGCGGGTGGGTGCCGCCGCGCGGCGTCCGGGCGGCGCGGCGGCGCGGCGGCGCGGCCGCCCGGGCCGCCCGCTGCGCCGCGGAACCCGACCGTGCCGGACGAAAACTTCTGTAGCGCCGGTCAGCCCTGTGCTAGCGCCTTAATTCTTTCACGATGCGACTCAGAAATGATTAGGGAATGCTATGATATGGTGCACTAAGGGGCACACACTGTGTGAAGTGCTGTAGGTGAATTGAAAGCAAATATTTTTGGTAAAAAACTGCGGTTGCAACATGATTACAAATAGTTAGCTCACCGCCAAACCAAAATAGATACGGCTTTTTATGACGTGGCATTAGATGCAGCAGGTTTCGGGGATCATTTTCATGTATAATTTTTGCAGTTTGCATGGCATGCACGCACGCTAGCGGCACTTGAATTTCAAGTACCTGACAGTCATTTTTACGACATCGAAAATGTCTCGACTTCTGACAATCCTACACGAGGCCGGTTTTGACAAAAACATTAAAATCATACTTTTTCAGACACCCCAAACATTTGCCTGACTGACCATATTACGATTTATTCGATTAAGTGAACTTGAATTTTGGGCCTTTTTCGTATTTATGGCCACTCGTGAGCCCCATTTGCATCACTGTGGTGTGGCCGAGCGCAAGCCTCTGCCCGGGCCTGAATTGACCTTAACATTACGAGTGAATGAGAAGTACCTTCCATAATCGTTTGGCGTCAAAATACCTTAGTAATAAAAGTTTCGGCAGGTTCTGAAACATACATTGCCAGAATATTGTCAACGAAAGTTGACGCATTTAAAAATTATCGCAAAAAAGTGGAGTCTCAAGGGGTTTGACGTTCATAGTAGGATCGTTTATCCCATGCACTCTGATAAATACGCTACAAATGCGAATATTTTCAAAAAAGGGATAAATATCACCGACCGTGCATTTTTACTGCGAAAAACGAGCGCTGCTGATTCCGAGTTTCGACTGCCACACCTTGCGACAGTCGTCACGCGCGCCCCAAGGGGCACATTCCTTCCATTGTCGACACATCAACCGAGCAGACCGAAACGATTCTCCCAGATCCAGGGACCAAGGCTGGGTGACACCTCGGGTGATCCATGCGGCTCGACTGTCACCTTTTTAAGGAGATGTACCGAGCCATGACCGATGGCTGTGAGCGACACGGCGACGACCCCCGCTGAGAGTGAGGGTGTGTCCGCCGAGTGTCGGCCCGCCCGGAGCGACCGGCGTGACCTCTGGGGTGTGACAGGTCACCGAGTCGTTAGCCGCTCCGGTCACACAGAGGGTGGCTGTCGAACGGCGCCGGGGAGTTCAGGGACAGGAAGGTCACTCGAGTTCGGTCGTATACGCAGGGTGGTATCTGCTTTGAATGGGGTGGGGAGGTGTGCGGAAGAGAGAAAGAGAGAGAGAGAGAGAGAGAGAGAGAGAGAGAGAGAGAGAGAGAGAGAGAGAGAGAGAGAGAGAGAGAGAGAGAGAGGAGAAAGGGAGAGACTCCTTCCTGTCATCTACCGGCACCATAATTCACGTCTTGAAGTCTAAGAAGAGGAATGCCACGAAGTGCGACTGCACCAGAAATACCAGCCGTCAGTTGTCCCGTTCACAGGGCTCGGGCGCCGAGAGGTCTGTTCGTTCCAGCTGACTGCAGTTGGAGATCAAACAGCCTGCAGCATCTGACCACAGAGCTGTGCACACAAGAGACAGAGAGCGCACGGCACGACCAGGCAGCGCCGAACTGAGACAGCTCTGCAGACAGGCCGGCAGACAGACAGCCTGGGGAGACAGGCCGGCAGGCAGCCCGGGAGATATAGGCTGGCAGTCAGTGGAGTGGCAAACAGCGGAAAACAGACAGCGGACCGACAGATGCCGAAGCAGAGAGTGTACTGTCAGAAAGCCTTCAGTGTGACAGTCATTAGATACACCATGTCAACAATGGCGAGTCCTCGCAACGGCCCAAACTTGTGATCGGCAGCCAGATCAGCACGGTAAACGGCCGTCTATGATACCTATTACCTATCCTGGCTAACGAGGACGCAGGGCCACGTGTCGCTGGAAGGTCAGCGGGGGAGGGGAGGGGGGGCAGGGGGAGGGGCAAGGTGACGCTGGCGGTGACTTGGCAGAATGCAGACCTTGAACGCTAAATTCAGTTGATCTTGTCTTAGGCTTGGCGGCATTAGCAATTAGCTGCTAATTGTTAATGGATTTCTTCAAGCTTATCTTCTCCTTCACCTTGGGTAAACCTCCCACGTTATCTGATACAATTAACGATGTTTGAAGTCGGCCTTAACATGCATGTAGTTACAACCTATATTGTCTACCGAGGGCAATGAGAGATTTGCTCGTCACTATCACCAAATTACCGGGCTACACAAACATGATGGCAAATTTTCGCTGCCGTCGGTGGGACGGACGACGGTGAACGGAGCCAGGGGTAAATAAGAACTAAGACGGAGACATCGGATCGATGTAGCAGCTGCCAGTCGCCGAGGCTGAGCTCACCTCAGGCATATTTGGGCATGTCGGGTGACTGGTGGAAGCACATGTGCTGTCCCCCGCGCCGTCATCCGATCTGCGACGATGCCGGTGTACACACCATCAGTCACAGCAAGTTGTGCAACACTGCTCTCACGGCTCCGGTCATACCGTCCACTGGCGGCTCATGCTCCAACAAAATCAATCGGCAACTTGTGGCAGTCTGTCGCCCGTCCGCCCACCCAGCAGGCTGTCGGCGGCACCGCGACACTCCATGGCGCTAATTCGCCACTTTTTACCGCCCCCTCCCACCGCAGCTCGCAGCCATTAGATGTCCGGTCCGCTGGTAAAAACGCGTCCGGCCCGCCGCCGAGCTCGACAAACATGTGCTCGTCGCCCGCAGAGTGTCGAGGTGCGCCGCGTCCGTCACCGTACGCCGCATCTGTCGACACCTGGCTAATTCCGCGGGCGGAAGAGAGGAAGCCCAGGAAGGCGGATGCAACACCGATTCAGCTCCCGTTACTTGCGGAAGGATACACCTCCAGCTGTGGGCGGGAGTAGGTAGTTGACTGCCCGGCCCGTTCGCAGTCTCCCCCAGCAACATTCCGACCCGTGCCGAGACCCGGCGCACCGCCCTAGGGTCGGTGGCCGCGCCGGGCGGTTTTTGCTCCACTGCGCTGATGCCGTCAGCGTGCAGGCCAGCTCTCAGGTGGTTTCGGCGCCTCGCTCTGCCTCTGCTCTGCTCCTCTCTGGGTCAGACGACCCGGGGACGCAGACAGCCGTCGATCACTGGACTGTCCCGTGAGGTCACTACGAGGTCAGACAGTGTCCTAGCAGCACAACGGCTGGCTTGGAAGGTCACCAGTCACAGCGTTTTGACAGCTATTTTTAGCACATATTTCACGCAAGGCGGCAGCTAGTACAACCTAGGCGGTGGGCCTCAGGTTTTAAAGAGTAGAGGGTTCCCACTTCCCAGTGGAATATGTTCGGCGTAAAACGATTTATGACAAAAACTAGACCTGCTTGAGTCACAACGTAGCCACGTGGCTGGAACGGTTGCGCTGAATGCTGATGCTGGCCATTTGACGGAAGACTGAGGGATAATTAAATTATACCCTACTCGATCAGTACAAAAAAAGTCTGCGATGTAGTGCAAAAGTTATATGCGGAGGCAGCGAAGCGCTCAGAAGGTTTAGCACTATGATTATTAACACAAGACATTGTAATAAAACGGAGCTGAAAAATAATAAAAATCCCCCCGTAAGCCCCGGGTTGAAGAGCTCAAAATAGTAGCGCAGTTTGACCCTAGATGGCGTGCGACCTACAAAAAAAAAGACGAAGATGGCGCTACAGCGTCACTGAAATTGTTTATTTCACTGAAATCTGAGAAAGTAACTTAATCGTAGTTAAGAAGCGGTCACCGCTCAAAAAGAAAAGGAAGTAGATACTTAAGTGTATTCGTGAGCAAAATCTGCAAACTGGAACATTTCTCAGCATGGAGACATAACTAAATGGGAAGTGAGCGGGCTAGAAACGAATTCATAATTTCCAGCAGTAAATTGTGTACTGCTAATAAACGCAAAAACGGACTTCTGTGAAAGATAGGACTTGTACGAATATGTAAAACTACTGATTTGCACATAAGCGTGCAATGCAAATGACATGGAAAATATACAAGGAAACAGCAAAGCTGTAAATATGAATACGGAATAGGTACAATGTTAAAACTTTCTCAAGAGAACAATGGGCAGATCAGGTTCACTTTGAGATCATGGTCCCATGCATTATTGCTCCACAAGTTAGCATTATTGATGGAAAATACCTAAAACGCAAGCTCCTACCGCAACTACTTTGCATATCGTAAGGCAAGGTTAGGCAAGTTTACAAGCACCACCAATTTAATGTGACAAGCATTTATCAGCATCACAAAATTACCCGTTGAGCTACGAAACGGTGCATATTAGCGGCAGTGGCTTGGTGGCGATCGCTCGGCCCCGGAGCTGGCAGGCCGGGTGAGCGCTGACCGACCGGCCGCATGGTTAGGCACCTCTCACTGTTCAGGTCGGCGGCGGCCGGGCAGATCCTCTCAGTAGGCCGGACGGGACCTCTCGTCAGGCCACACTCGGTGGCTAGATGGCCAGCGCGGCCGTCAGTCGGCTCAGCTCCGACACCAGTTTGTGGCTGTCCCCGGCGGACAGCGGCGGTGCCGCGCTCACGGCCGCCGTCTGCGCATCGGCCACGGCGGCGGCGTGCTGCGCCACGCGCTCCGTCTGTCGGTACAGCTCCTCCGACTGGGCCAGAAGCTGACCGAGCCGGCCGTGCGGCGGCGGAGGCGCCGGGGCCGCCTCCAACCGCGGCCGCACGCCGTCCAGCTGCAGCCGCGTTTGCCGCAGCAGGCAGCACGTGCGGTCGCAGAGCTCGCGCAGCGCCGCCAGCTGCCGGTCGTCGGCGCGCGGCCGGTCCGCCTGCAGCCGCGACAGACGCTGGTTCAGCTCGTCGAGCTCGGTGGCGGCGCCGGCCGCCTGGCGCGCCAGCTGTGTCCGGTCGGCGGGCGGCTCCGTCTCGGCGCTGAGGTCCTGTCGGATGTCGGCGGCGATCAGGTCCGGCTGGGACCGCAGCGCCTCCTGGGTCTGCTCGGCGCAGCACAACTCCGAGAGCAGCGCCTGCTCGTCGGCCGGCGCCACCGTCACTGGGTGCTCGCGCTCCTCACGCAGCACGGCCGCCACGTTCAGCAGCGGCAACCAGAAGGCGGCCGCGCCGCCGGCCGTCTGCGGCTCGCTCAGCTCGGGTCCGCCGGCCGTGCGCAGGAAGCCGAGGCCGGCCAGCGCGCTGCGGACGGCCGCTGCATCAGCCGGGTCCGGGAGTCGGCCGGCCAGAGCCGGCTCAATCTGCAGACAGCACCAGTGCAGCAGGGAGGTGCGGTGCTCGCTGGGCTGCAGCAGCACCTGCCGCAGCCATGGCTCTGCTGCATCCTCCAGCAGCGGACACTGGAGTGAGCGCAGTGTGCGGCACACAGCCACCAGCGGATCAGCGGCTGCACACATCTGCCAGAAACAGTATTTCATTAGCTAATGGGTGACACTCGGAAAACACAGTTCTATGTTGATTGCCAAGATGCTTATTCAAAATTACCTTGCTGAACAGTGGCATCTCAATCTGAATCTGCTTCTTCTAGTGCACTAACATCTTCCTGCAAGAGCAGAAACCTAGGCATATGTGTAGATGAAGTATGAATGGTAGGTCTTAACCCTCGCCGGCCGAGGGGGGGGGGCGGGTGCCCCCCCCCCCATAGGGTTTTTTCGCGATAGCTCCGAACACGCTGGCGATAGAGAGCTGAAGCTTGGCATACCTGACCTTTGATCCAAGCCGGATCTTTTGACACCAACCGCATTTTTGGGTCAGGTCAGGTCACTGACCTATGACGTCATAAGTGAACCTCTGCACGGTCTTCAGATGTCGCAACTTCGCAACGCCCTCACTGCCAGAGGAGATGTCACAGGGAAATGAAACTTGCAGGATCTAGTATCCATTATGAGTCCCACAACTTGTATATCTCTGATTTTTCCTAAAGGTCATATGAGGTCAGGTCATTTTCATGACCTCACCATTTTAAGTCAATGGGGAAAAATGAAAACTGCTATTCTGGCGCCGGGAACGATCTCCAACTATCTCAAGCATACAGAATCGTGATTTGATGCACTCCTTGCAAGGTTAGATGCGTCACTTTTGCAATGTTGACCTTGCGTGACGTCATTTATGACGTCATCAAGGTCATATTAGTTTTTCGTCAATAACTCTTGATCAAATTGAGCTAGCGAGTCGGGAAAGCCACCAATGGACTCAGGAAGACCTGCCGAATCGAATGATATGCGACATGACCTCTTTTGACCAACTTCGTGACCTGGGGGGTGCTGACCTGACCTTGACCTGAGGTCAACACCCCAAGTTGACCTGACCCGGACAAAAAGTATATCATTCGACGCGCCTGAGCGAGACGATCACGATGCTGCCAAAATCGGCGCTCTGCGGCCGTTTTTTGCGAAGTTATTCACCAAAAACTGAACCGTACCTTGGGGCACTTGACCTGACCTCAGAGGTCACCGGTTGACCTAGGACCTTAAAATCGGGTGCCAATCTCTGCGTCTCGTAACGGCGCACACGCTCGTTTTTTCCGCGACGCGCTAGCTCCACCACGGGCGAAACGGCGAGGGGGGTCGTACCCGCCCCCCTCAGCCGGCGCGTATGTAGAAAACCGGGTAAATGTCAAGTTTAAGTCCTAAGAAGATTTCATTGATAAATTTTTCATATTTTCACATTATTTGACATCCTGAATCCAAAAATGATACTCATATGTCTCGCAAATAAAAGGAAAAAACATAATCAAACCTGACCTAACCTTACCTACTTACCTATAACCACTTTGAAACAAATCATGCTTCCAGATCCCATGACGGCTTCCAAATTAAAGGATTTTTCAGAGGTATTGCGATGCGAATATATACATACTATGTTGGAAGGTGGGAAAGATAAATCGTTTTGCTAAGGGCTACGGTATGTAAATATTTTCGATCTATGTGGTATTCACTTCTTTTTACCCGAAAACATGTGCGCCAGTGAGAAAATATTCATGGGTCACCTAACACCATATGATGTTTCATTCAAGTATTTTGGGGGGGGGGGCCAAAAGCTATGTTGGCCCCCCCTCTCAGGCTTTTGGGGGGGGCCATGGCCCCCGTGGCCCCCCCTGGATCCGCCAGTGATAACCTACCAACCTACAACCTACAAACCTACCCTAACCTAACCTAACCTACAAACCTACCTACCTACAACCTAAAACCTACAAACCTACAACCTAACCTAACCTAAAACCTAAAATTTTTGCTGTTTCATATTTGTATCAACAGCGTCACAATTGTAGTTAGGACCTAAACTTGACATATACCGAAAACCAATAGGTCCGGCGAGGGTTAAGGTTGTAGGACTTGTAGCTTGGTAGGTTGTAGGTTGTAGATTTCAGGCTGGAAAGCTGTAAGTTGGTAGGTTGAAAGTTATATGAATGTTAGTAGGTAAGGCGCGTCAGGTTAGATTGCTTTTTTATCTTCGCTGTACTTCATCTACACTTTTACCAAAACCTACAATGCATATTTATAATTTGACAAGCATAAAAATGAAAGTGGTGATGCATAAACTGTGAAACAATTCGTGAATAATCTTCCGAATTCACAGGTGTTTAACCCTGATAAGATCAAGCTCAAGCTCAAAATGAAATCCAACATCAAGACCGCATTTGTTACAGATCACTACTCACACTTGCTGATTAACTATCGATGCGAATTGAAATTGTGGGAAGTATTTTCTATAAAACGAGGGATATCAACGCCTAAAACAATAAATTCACCTCCTATTTGAGCGCTGGGGCGTTGCCGTCTGTTACCGCCGAACGGCGAGGACGAGCATTCGTAAGCTATACCTCTGTTCGTACAACTCTACGCTTGCAGTATTAGCAAATGCTGTTGCATATCACATGCATATCACCGAAAATAATAGCTTTCAAACACAGTATTTATTTTTTATAAAATGTTAAGAAATAGAAACTCAAAGTAATAGAACCATCAATTTATTGAAAATCTTAAGAAATCATGTAAGCTTGGTGACAAAAGCGAGCCACCCACTTTGAGTGAACAGCAAAGTTGTTTGCGACATTTATACCGCACCTGCTACTATCAGGCATGCCAAAGTTTTGCTGGGTGCTGGACGTGCTGGAGTTCAATTTGGGTTGAATTGATTTGCATTTAATTACATTAAAATAACTACAAATAAAGCCTGAATCATCTGTATCGTTTACCCCTATTTACTGCTTGATGAAATAAATCAAAGTTTCGCGTAATGGCATCGTTGTGGCTGCCACGCGTAAGCAGGGCATGCAGTGCATTTTGCAGCAATAGTAAGTATATACCTACCTTGCTGTTTTTCTGAAATATTTGTCTAGGGATATTTAGCGCTGATTAGGAAACAGCATCCTGGGTGCCTGATTTGCATGCGATCACAATTTACATCATTGTAATATAATGCTATCATCATGGAAGAGAATTGCAAATTCCTGCTGCATTGGCATGTCAATGTGTCTTCAAAGACACATGTGTAATCGTAAACCCACTCATGGCTATGCCTCAACCTAACTTAAGATGTTCATTAGTGTAGCTTTGTAGCCCAACTTTCTTCTGAGATGGGCTTAGATGTGGCAGTTAATTAAATGTTGGCTGCGTCAGCCCCATTCATTCCATTCATTCCTTTGGCTGAGGTTCTCTTGCAGTTTGTAATGGCCTTATTTGACTGAATCAATATCAAATGCTTTATTTTTAGATATCCATTATGCTTGCAAATGCTTGAAATGCTTTATTTTTTCAACTGTTTGTCTAGGAAAATGAACAGTATAAAGAAAAGCTATTAAGAATGACAATGTCATTCAGAATTTGTCAGAGCTTATTGCTTTAACTGTATGGTTCAAATGATGAGTAAGTGGTGTATTTGTGGCCCTACTTCCAGCTTCTGTTCGCCTGCTGGCCTCCTCTGCCCTGGATGGAGCGGCATCACCAGCAGCACCAGCAGCAGCACAGACCAGTGATCAGGCCACTGCTGCGCCCGAGTCCAAGCAGGACCAGCGCACCTCCTCTCTACCAGAGTATAGGTACAAAGAGATATAAGCATTGTGTCCTTTGTTGTGTCTATATACCTACCCTACCTTACCAGAAGTATAAAAGCTATAAATATTTTTTTGCTGCAGGAAGATGATAAATGTGCCCAACTTTGATAAGCATTTTTCAAGTTTTTTATTACTCCATGCCAGACCCTGTAGGCTGTAGCATCAATGTCTTATGTAGCTGTGAAGGAGCTGCGAGTACAGTGGATGCGTTAGACCCGACGCCCTTCTGTGAGTGTATTCTGCTCCCCAGGTTTGTTTACCCCGAGTTTCTGCCGAACCCTGACCTGCGGCTGCGCCACCGGCTGGCCGAGCGCCTGGAGCGCGCCGACATGCTGCGCCGTCGGACACGCATCGAGATCCCCGAGTTTTACGTCGGTACGTTGGGCTCACGATCGCCGCGCATTGTCCTCTGAGTATCGTGCGTTGCGAATGACCATACGATGTCTATCATCACAGTGTTTCTTTATCACCCAAGTTTTTACTTTCTTGAACGATAAATGACCGTGTTGGGCTGTTGGAGAGCCGGTGGGAAGCCTTTCGCAATCGTTGGTCTGCCTTTTCTTGTTAACAACGGGCTCCGGCTGTCTTTCGCGGAACAATTCTGACTTGTCCGTGACCTCTGACCTGACGATCCGCTCTGACCCTCGGACAGGCAGTGTCCTGGCGGTGACAGTGTCGGACCCGCAGGCGCCCGGCAAGACGAGCCGCTTCGTCGGCATCTGCATCCTGCGTGAGGACCACGGCCTGCGCGCTACCATGACGCTGAGGAACGCCATCGACCAGCAGGGTGAGCTGAGCGCCCCCCCCCCCCGACCGATCCCTGTATCGGCCCCCGCTGGGACGAAAGTAATAGAATGTATCATCCTGAAGTGATACGCTGATGCGGTAACCCCTTCTCACATTACAGATTATATGAAACTTCAGTATAAAATACCAGTAAAACGCCTTTTGGGCGAAGAACGAGCGAGCGAGATAGTGAGCCCTGCACGTGCGGAAGGGCGATAGGGTACTTCCAACGGGCTTGTGCAAAGCACCCTTCTAACCGGTCGCTAGCGGTGTGCCAAATTTGAACGCAATCGGCCCAGCCGTTCCTGAGATCTGGAAGCGGCATTCTGCACGTGCGCACGTGCAAACGGGGTCCAAACTGACTTTTGCACGGCACCCTACTAACCGGTCCCCAACCGTGTACCAAATTTGAGCGCAATCGGCCCAGCCGTTCTCGAGATCTGGAAGCGCCCCCTGCACGTGCGCACGTGCAGTAGGCAGTAGCACCCTAACCGCAACACATGGGAATGCATTGCCTGGTGGGTGCCTACCTGTATGCCAAGTTTCAGCGAAATCGCCCCAGTAATTACCGAGTTACTGAAATGGGAACAAATTTGGCACCTCTTCTTTTTGTATTTTGCACGTGCAGTGGGGGTCACTCACATAGATCAAGAGTATCCGACCTTTGGTAGAAGGGATGCAGCTACCCTATAAAAATTACCGCAAGACAATCGCTCAAGCCGCTGCTGAGATATGGGCCTCTCAAAATCATTACTTTTGCAAAACTGCTTGAACACCCTTGACTTTTCACGTGGCACGTGCCACGACGGTCACTGAGATGTATCAAAAGAAGTCAATTACGGGGTAGAAGGGATGGGGCTACCCAGCAAAAAAGACCGCAGGCCAATCAGTCCAGCGGTTGCTGAGATATAAGCCTCTCAAAAGCGTTACAGGCCGGGCCGGGCCGGGCCGGGCCGCTCATACTGAGATTTTTCCGTTATATTGAAAAGACTTCGCTTCGCTCGCTGCGCTCGCTCGCTCGTAATCATTTGATCCCCGGACGATTCGAGACATGCTGCATGCATGCATTTATTATTGGGCCCCCGTCGTCTTTTTTTCTGCATGGCTGGAGCCCTGACGCCCTCCCCTCCCTCGACGGCAGGAGTGGAGATCTGCTACCCATTGTACAACCCGACGCTGCAGAAGATCGAGGTTCTGCGGCTGGAGAAGCGGCTGGACGAGGATCTGCGCTACCTGCGCGACTGTCCGCTCGAGTACAGCACGTTCGCCTTCGATATGGAGCCCGAGCACGCCGCCGACTCCGGAGAAGTGCCCGTCAATCCCGTCAAGGTGAGCGAGTCACAGCGCAGGGGGCGTCTGGATCAAAGGCCAAAGACCCTACAATGCCTAAAAATACGATACCAATACTAACTACTTACCTATTCGTTACATCACACAGCTCATCCACTGATCAGCAGCGGCGTATCGCGTTTCAACCAATTTAATTAAGTGTCTGCTGAGTTGTGCCCTGCCAGTGCAGTCTGGTTTAGGCCGACGAATCGTTTGCGCCGAGTCGATGTTTCATTCCAGCCGGTCAGCGTTGTTACCCTATCCTGCTCCGTTGTGTGACGTTTTCCCCTTCCGGCAGGTGCCGCTGCGGCCGCGGCCCTGGACCTGGCGCTGGGAGCGCGCCGGTATGAAGGGCCTCATCGTGCCAGAGCTGCGCGAGGACTTCTATGAGCGCGCCAAGAAGGTGTCTGAGCCGTGGCACAAGTACGACCTGATGCGCGAGTACCGGCGCTCCGTGCCCGTCGAGGACCAGCGCGAGATCTACGCCGAGGTGCACGAGCACGTGCAGTCGCTGGAGACGGACCAGCGCCGCGTGCGACGGCGGCGCGTGTTCGTCGCGCCCAAGAAGACCTCGTAGTGGGCCTGAGAAGAAGCCAGAGTGTGACAGGGACTATAGGAGTGTGGTGAGCGATTGTAGATTGTGTTGTATCGTGAGAACGGCAGTGTAAGATGGATGCAGATTTGATCAGGTGCCTGAAATATACAATTGAAGTTGACAATTTCGCAAGGTTCCCATTCATTTTTTCGCAATGAGTGTTCCGATGTTCATTGACGGCGTCCCTTGAACACGTCGAACCGATCATACCTACATGTATTTTCACATCTGTGGTAACAAGTGAGCTCTGAATCACAGTCATTCCAACGAGCGGTAGGCACTGAACGATAACACCGCTCGTTGGGAAAGGGACAGCTAACAACTGACCAGTGCAAACACCCCTACCAAACAAAACTAATGCGGTAGCTAAATCACTCAATCACATCACATTGATCCAACACTAGATCATTATAACTGGCGTACAATTAACAATTACCTGTGCCTTATCGTTGCTTCTGCATCGAATGGCCGCCTAATGACCCCACAGAATACCCCCAGATTCAAAATTTATCTAATCGAGCCCAGTAACTGGTAGCATCAAAGAAGTAAGCAGAGCGCGGTAAATAATACAGCCATAATAAAGAACTGCATCCCCCAGAGCAGACCTAAACCTCCGGTTCGAATGGCAGGTACTCAATTCCGGCCCTATTCACTAAGCGGCAAATTCAAACAACACAATAATTGCACGAGTAATATTCGCAATAGTTGACACACAATACCAGATTCAGCAAGGCACATTCCAACAATAAACATTATATTGCCCCAACAAATATCACTTGGCTAAGACCCGCTCAACACATTCACGCTAACCACGCATCCAATGAGATATGGTGACTTCGTGCGTAGCTATATGTTTGGTTCAGAATTGTATCTGGCCGTGGAAAAGTGCCAACTTATATATTTTCACAGTGGATGTGCTGTAACAGAACAGCGTAGGGTAAGGGAACGGCGGGCTGTTCCCCGATACAGCGTCACTGCCGGCATTATCAGCCTTCACGACGCCAGAGTCGCAGTAAATGGGAATCCTGGCAGAGTCCTAGAGCCTTGCAGTGGGGAGAGGGGTCAGTCTGCGGTTCAATTTCCACCGGTATGTCGATGCAGGTCGCTATCGCGTCGAACCGATCGCTCACCGTGCGTATCACCACCCATCGGACCATGGTGGGCGGTTTTGAGTCGCGCCAGGCCCTGGGTCAGCTCCTTGATAGAGGTGAGCGCTGGCTCCAGTTCAGCGGGGTGGAGCTGGCGCGGCGGGTAGCCAGTCTTCATCACGGTCACCTTGGCGGCTCGGTCGGCCGGCGGCGGGGGCGGGGGCGGCCGGGAGCGGCGGCAGGCGGCGCGGAGAGCGCGCAGCAGCTGCTCCAGCAGCAGGGCGGCGGCTGACACCAGCAGGCCGATCAGCAGCAGCAGGAACGCGCCGCGCATCTCGGTCAGCGAGAGGCCCGTCTGGCCGGCCGGCATCAGCCGCGCCTGGCCGCCCGGCTCCGGCAGACACTGACTGGCGTTCGGCATGAACTGGCGCAGCCAGGCCTGGATCAGGCCCGACTCCCGCATCAGACGCAGGCTGCCGACACAAATTGGAAGTGTGTCAGCACTCGGCACACAGACCAACAGAAGGATGTAGCACAAGGCAGATGGTGCATGTGTAAACTGTTACGTCGAATCATGTGTGCTCGCCCACAAAGCAGAGCGTCCTGTCATTAATTCCTAAGCTCACCTATGGCACATTCAGTAATAGCAGCTGTGGTAAAATCCCTCGGTAAGCCGGAAGTTCACACTCACTATCTGTCGAAGGCGGTCTTGTAGGGGCTGCGTTTCTGCAGTCCGAACACCACAGTGATCTCCATGAGGTGTACGGGAATGATGTCCAGCTGGCACGGGTCGCTGGCGTTGGGGTTCTGAGACAGCTCTCGGCGCATATCCTCGTCTGGGGGAACAGGTCAGCGCAGGTGACACCCCTGCATGTGCTGTCTTGAGCCAAGGGTTGAGGTAAGCATTATCGATACAACATCCGACATCTCCACTCACTTCGCGTGGGGTTAGGGATTACAGCTGAGCTGGGCGCCAATAATCTACCGCATCTCAGTAAAGCATCGGGACATCCCACACGTTTAGATCAGTAGAGGATGGCGGGTCGTCCACCCGCTCGCAGTCCAAAATACACCCACTCTTCTCCCCTCCACTCACGACGAGAACAGCACCACCTACCGACGATGAAGCGGACGTCGAGTGAAGAGGCGATGTCCACCCAGCCGCCTCCCTTGACCTTTGCCAGCGCGTCGCCTACGTTGGCGTAAAACTGTCCGCGGCCCTCGCGGAACATCCGCTCCAGGCCCTGGCTCACCACTGACACAGGGTTCTGCGGAAGAGGAAATAATCGGCCGATCATTAGAACGGAATATGTTAAAACAGGGTAAGAGACGCATTGGCAGGATATATAAAATGCAGGCAAGTGCGCGCTAACTGGCAATGCGACCAATCAAACGGTTTTAGCGTTTCATCATCAGCGTATTTTCGCGTTTCCTTTCCACTCCAAACTGGAAACGGAGCTGAAGCTAGTTTCCTTTTTCCAGCGAAGTTAAAGTTTCCTTTCTCTAACATTTACTGCCATCGGTTGCTGAGAGCTCACCCCGCCAAACCATCATACACAGCACCATCATACACAGCCCGCGTCCACGTCCATGCCACCCCACTGACCACAATGGCCTGCTGCAGGTCGGTGCCGGCCATGGTGAGCCAGCCCGTGTCGGCGCCCGAGATCAGATCGTCCACGTCTCGCACCACGGGCGCCACGCGCGGCACGGTCAGCGTGGCGATCAGGTTGCCCGAGTAGGTGGCCACGCAGATGAGCGTGAACAGCCAGTAGAAGCCGACCAGCAGCCGGCCGGAGAGCGCCGTGGGTAGGTGTTCACCGCCTGCCGACGGAGACCATGTCAGACGAGTTAGAGCACGGGCCGCACACAGACCAACGACGAGCGGAGATTCAGTCAGAGTGACGGCTAGATACAGCTGGCAGCGACTCAAATGCCCGAATCACGGATGACATTTTACGAGTCATTCAGCGTTTGTTGTTTGGCTGTCGACATCCTACGCAAGATGCAAACAAAAAACCTAGCTGAGCTGACTGCCCGAAAGGACGAGTCACAACTCACAACACACTAACTTGAAAAAGAAAAGCCGAATGATTTGTCAAGAACCCTGAGTTTGAGGACTCGTGGATAGGAATTTTAACCAGCTCTCCAAGTTTCCGTCCTAGGTTACATCCACACTCTCACCCTGGTTGATGGTGGCGCCGTACATGTACCAGAGGCAGTTGGTGAAGCGGAACAGGCCCTGGCGTCGGGCGCCGGGCGGCTGGGGTCCGTAGTGCGGCGAGGCGCGAGTCATGAGGTACAGCAGCAGGGACGTCACCACCATCGTCACAAAGATGCCCAGCCACACCTGCGCACAGGCGGACACGCAGTGGGTGAGTCAACGTTGGTTTTAAAGATCACCTGCGCCTGGCTAATGCTAGCACAGTCGGCTACGATACAATCATCGATGATTGTTGAAGACAAGAGGTGCGTTGACATACATAGCTACAAAGTTAAAAAATAGCTACAAATTAAAAACGCCGGTCTCTTCCAAGCTCACTATCCGTATGAGACCTCGTCGGATTGTTACCTCGTCGGTAAACGGGTCCTTGTAGATGAACAGTCCGTGGTCCAGTCGGGCCTTGGGCGCCAGCAGGTCGTAGTAGTCAGTGTAGAACGACTGCGTGTTATCGATGACCGTCTGCCTGACAGGGTTCAGCGCCAGTGCGCCGGCCACGTCTGCCCGGCCGTCTATCAGCATCCGCACCAGGCCCGTCCACGAGCCGTTGGGCAGCCGCAGGCCCCACTGGCCGTCCGGCGGCTCCACAACAGTGTACCTGAGAGGGAGGACAGGGACAATCAGACTCCATAACAGGCCCCACTGGCCGTCCGGAGGTTCCACCACAGTGTACCTGAGAGGGAGGAACAGGGACAATCAGACTCCATAGCAGGCCCTACTGGTCGTCCGGAGGTTCCACGGCAGTGTACCTGACAGAGAGAACAGGGAGTCACCGCGGGCCCATAGGAAACAACAGGCCCCACTAGCCATTCTAGCGGCTCCACGGTCGTGTATAGTCGACTACAGAATGATGTTCCACTTTTCACAGGCAATTATTTGTCTGGAGTGGTAGGCTGTACCGCATCACACGGGCTGAGTTCACAAATTATAGCTTTGTCCCAATGCTCACAATCGCCACGCTTAATTGCGTGATAAACGGCACAACTTAGCGCTCCGGTCAACTGATAGCTTCTGAGGAGTGGAACATCATTCTGTAGTCGACTATACCTAACCTGGAGGACAGTACTGAGCACAGACCCACCAGACTCGGCACATACAGGGTTCAGTTTCACAACACAGCCCACTGGCCATCCGGAGATTCCACAGCGTTGTAGGTACTTAACTGAGAGGACAATGACAGGACACCACAACATAACACCGCTGACCGTCCGGCAACTTCATGGCCGTATACCGGAGCAGAAGACCAGGGACAGGGACCATAAAATCTGACCTAACTGGGCACACAGGGTCGGTGCCGCCCCTCTCAAACACAAATCTTTCTCATATCAGTACTGCAGGCACGAACGGACACCAATCGAACATCGACCGTTCCATCATCTCCACACGTCAGGCCCTCACTCGCCTCCCATCACTCACAGGCGGCCCTACGGCCAATCACTCACGTGAAGCCGAGCTCCTCGGCCAGTGTGTCCATGATGCGGAACCCCAGTCCGGTGCGGTTAACCAGCGCGCCGCTCCTCGGGTCCACGTCGTAGTCCATCATACCGTGCCAAGGCAGCGTAAACACTATCGGAACATAAAACAATTGTCGGGCTCAGCTCCAGCACGGCACTAAATTTCTACACGAGTTGACGTAAAGAGCCCGGCTGGATGCATCCAGCACGACGATAGTATTGCAATGAAATAACTTACTAAACACACGACCTCCCATAAACTTCGTACTCGTTAGTCCACTGTCCAACGATCTCTGTTAGACACAGACAGAACAAAATTCAGAAGCTTATTAAGACTACTGCAATGAAAACGCCTCACTCGAACATGCACAAAGCAATCAGCATCAGCTACATTTTTTCCCGCTGTCCCCACAGGCCGTCCCGCCCGTCACTCACTGATGAGGTGCGCGTCTTTGAACAGGTCCGGAAAGGTAAAGTCCAGTCCCCAGGTTACGTTCCACAGTCCGGCCCGCAGCAGTCCGACGGCCACGCCGCTCTCAGGGCCGGCCTCGGTTGGAGCCGGACGGCCGTACTTGCTGGCCAGCAGCTCAAACTCGAGACAGGTGAGGCACACGCGCCAGTCGGTCAGACGGGCCTGCGGGGCGGAGGGAGAGGTCAGACCATATGGGTAGGAAGGGAAGCAGTTGTCGGTCAGGTGAATTTACCTGTTCAGATCAATACCAGATTTGTTCCATCACCGTTCCAAAGCAACAGGATATGGTCACAGATTCCCCGTCTAGCATTTAGCACGTTTATCCCACCAATCAGACCCTCTTCGTGTCCCGTAGGGCCCGCCCTACCCCATATGACCCTCGAGCCCGATTTAACCACCACTGCGCACCAGACCGCTCACCCGTATGGCGTTATTCAGCGCCGGCGCAGCGGCGGCCCGGGCAGGATCCACTCTGCAGACACTGTCCACAGCCGCCACCGTCTCAGGCAGCCAGCCGTCTGTCCAGCCGGCCTGCAGCGCCTCGGCCACGGCCAGCACAGCAGAGACCGCGAACGTCTCCTCAGAGTCCAGCTGTAAATGTAGAAACACAGCGCTGAGGCCAGGTTCCCGGGTATGGGCTGTTAGCTGACACCGAGCTCTGTTGGAGCCTCCCGATCGAGCCCGCCTTCAAGTGGTGGGAGGTGTGGGTCCACCCGGACCCGCCTCTGCTGGGGCGACCTGCGGAGGAAGCCAAACGGGCTCAACCTGCCCTCTCCAGCGAGGGCCCTGGCGGTGGCCACCCGGCTGCCGCTGCGTTGCTGCGCCACCTCAGCAACCGACACTCAACGCCCGGGGGCGGCGTACGCCCATCGGCAGGCCTGGAGCCGCGCTCGCGCGGCTCGGCCTGCTAAATGATTAACGACGGGTCGGCGCCCCCCGCCGGGACCGACGACGGCGGGGAGGCGCCAGCTGTGAGACCGGGTACCCGACACCGTCGCAGAGCCCGCAACCGACGATATCGCCGTAACAGAGCCCGGAGAAGTCTCCTCACCCTTGTGGTGTGGAACGCGGAGGGCCTCCGCCCGAAGATTGCGGAGCTGTCCCCCTGGCTTCTTGAGGCCAACGTCGACGTACTCGCGGTACAAGAGGGCCAATTCCCTAAGACGGCACCAAGGATGCCTGGCTTCCAGCCCCCAGTCGTGACTCGACGCTCCAGAGGCCGTAGAGCTGGTGGCCCTGTGAAGGGAGGCGACGTCGCCATCTACATGCGTGACGGTCGTCACTTCACAGTACTGAGCGGCCCCTTCAAGCCCGGAGCAGACGACACCACCGAGATCTGTGGCGTTCGCCTACCTGGTAATCCCGATCTGGACATCATCAACATCTACCGCCCGCCCATCCGCTCAGATGAGGCAGACGAGAGACAAGACAACTTCGATCCCGACTACCTCCCCACTAGCGACAACACCATCGTCGCCGGCGATATCAACGCTCACCACCCGCTGTGGGACGCGGACTGCGAAGGCCCGGATGAGACGGGCGAGAAGATCGCTGTGTGGCTGGACAGGACCGGCTGGGTGACCCTCAACGACGGCCGCCCTACCTTCACCAGCTACCGATCTGGCGGGCAGTCGGCCCCGGACGCCGCCTTCTGCAGCCCGTCCCTGGCGAGGAGGTGCAAGTGGGACACAGGCCCAGACATGGGCAGTGACCACCTCCCGATGCTCCTGGAGCTGCAGACTGGACAGTCGGCCCCCAAGAGGATCCGGAAAACCAAGTGGTCATTCAAGAAACCCGCCTGGCTGGCCTTCCAAGAGATGTGTGAAGCCGCCTTCCAAGGAGCGGAACCGGAACACGAACCAGTTCAGAAGATGGCTACCAGGTTCCACTCGATCCTCCAACAGGCTAGTGTTGCCCACGTACCAAGAGGGGCACGAGCCGACGCCAAACCCTGGGCTCTGGACCCGGAGCTGGAGGAGGCAATCGAAGACAGAAGAGCGGCGAGAAGAGCCATGCAAAACAGTAACAGGGACCCCCAGGCCAAGGCACGTTGGATCGAGGCCAAGAGACGCGCCGCTTCCATCGAGCGCCGCGTCTCTCAACGACACTTCAGAGACTTCGTGTCGAAGGACCTCAACAAACACCAGAGCCTCGGGCGGGTCCACAAGATATTGAAGATGTGGGAGGGAGCGTCAGATGACAACCACAGAAAACAAGAAACCATGGAAGACAACGGCCGCACCCTGGTGACGGACAGGGACAAGGCAACGGCGTTCAACCGCACGTACGCCTACGTTTCCAGACAGGTGCGAGCCAAGTCCATCGATCGCCGGGCCAAGAAACAGCTGAAAGAAGCCGAAGTCCGCACCTGCGTAGAGTGCAGGGGTAACAGAACGGGTTGCTGCTCACCGTTCACGGAGGAAGAACTGCTGCGTCAAATCTCCAGCGCCCAACTGAAGAAGTCGCCAGGACCCGATGACCTGTGCAACGAGCACCTCAGACATCTGGGCCCGGTGGCTCGCAGAGCTCTGCTCCGTCTCATCAACGCCTCGTGGCTTACCGGACTGGTCCCGTGGCAATGGCGGCGTGCCGTCATCGTGCCCATTCCCAAGCCCGGGAAGAACCAACGGCTCATAGCAAGTTACCGCCCGATTGCCCTGACATCCCACATCGCCAAACTGGCTGAACGACTCGTCGCGACTCGACTAAACCACATCATCGCAACCCGAAGCATGATCCCGCCTGAACAGGTTGGCTTCAGAGAGAAGCGGGGTGTGGAGGATGCCATCGCTCGTCTAACCCAACAAGTTCAGGACGGATGGCAGCTGAAGCCGTGCCCCCCATCCCGGAGACAGCTGCCGGACGGTGAGTCGGCGCAGAGATTCGTCCTCGTTGCGTACGACTTCGCACGAGCGTACGATAAGGTGGACCATCGCCTCCTGCGTGCCCGGCTCGCTGAGATGGGAGTACCGGCGTGCTTCAACTCCTGGGTGTGGAGCTTCCTCAGAGACCGGCGGGCTTGTGTCGAGCTCAACGGAGCAAGGAGCGGCGAGCGCGTCTACAGGGCAGGGCTGCCCCAGGGCAGTGTTCTGTCCCCGACCTTGTTTTTGTTGTGGTCGGCTCCACTAGCGTCAACCCTCCGAGCCCTGCCGGGCACTACTCCGTACATGTTTGCGGACGACACCTCCACACTGTGCTCGGGTAACACGATTGAAGTCGCGCAGGAGCGGGCACAACGAGCGGCCGATACCCTGGTCAAGTGGGCCCGGGAGAACAAGATGGAGGTGGCGGGCCAGAAAACCCAGCTTCTAGTTCTGTCTCAGAGCCACCGGGACGCCGTCGGTTGCCGCATCCGTGTGGCGGGCCAGACGGTGGAAGGAGGCCCTGAACTGAAGTTACTCGGCGTAACGCTGGACAGGACTCTGGGGTTCGGCCCCCACTGCAGGAACCTCCGCCGCCGCGTCCGCCCTCGCATCTCTCAACTACGACGAATCACCGGTCGCAGCTGGGGCCTGGAGGAGAGACAACTCCGGGCCGTCGCCAACGGCTACGTTAGGGGAGCCATCGAACATGCGGCGGCCGCCTGGATGCCGGCGGCCGCCAGGACTAACATTGATGTTCTGGAACGCGAGATGCGTGCCACGGCCCGAGTCATAACGGGCTGCATCGGGTCGGCCCCCATCCACGGAGTAATGGCCGAAGCCGGCGTGGCCCCGGTCGCGGCGCGCCGCACAGCACTGGCGGCGAGGATGCTGGCGAAGGCCATGGCACTGCCCGAGGAGGACCCGCTACACCGACTGGCCGTGGCGGACCCACCGCGGCGCCTCAAGACCGTCTGCGGATGGCGCCAGTTGGGTCGGGAGGTGTGGCGGACCCTTGGAGTGGAGCCACCGGTGGAGCCGTTGCTCCCCGTGCGCCCCCCGCCCTGGCAACCGACCGGCACGATCAGCTTTAACCTGGACATCGGAGCGGGGCTCCCAGCCGGAGCTGCCGCCTCCACGAAGAAGGAAGCCGCCCTACACCACCTGGCGTCCCTGACCCAATGTGCGACCTGGGTGTGGACCGACGGGTCGGCGACTGGAGGCGTTCTCTGTGGAGGGGCCGGCGCGCTGGTCGTCCACGCCGATGATGACCGCACTGAGCTGAAGAGACCCGCAGGAGCGCTCTGTTCCAGCTTCAGGGCGGAGATGCTGGCCATCGCAATGACCCTGGAACATCTGGCGACACACCCTCGTGACGACACACTGCCAATAATAATCTGCACCGACTCACAGTCTGCCCTGGCTGCACTGAGAGAGGGGCCTTCGGCCCAGAGGACGGTCCAGGGGGCGGAGATATGGAGCCGCCTGCTGGAAATCGCCACACCGGACCGCCACGTGACGCTGCAGTGGGTCCCATCGCATTGTGGGATCCCAGGCAACGAGGCGGCGGACGTGCTGGCGGGGGAGGCGGCGGCGCTGGATCAAGAAATCGCCTCCATCGACGTCAACACCGTCTACAAGGCTGCGGCCCGTCTAGCCAGGGACCAGGCGGCCAGGGACAGACCGTCATACCCAGACCCGACACGCAGAGCGGCGACCGGCTGGTACCGGGAGCTGATGGGTACGAGATACCCGCCCCCGGTCTCCGGCCTGGATCGGCGGACAGCCATCGATGTCCACCAGATCCGGACTGGCCACTGGAGTGGATCGACCCAGTTCCTGCACTCCATCGGCCGGAGCCCCTCAGCCGCCTGCGCCCAATGCCGGGACCTGCTATGCGAGGCCGCCCGGTGCCCGCTGTGCGGCGAAGAGGCGGACACCCCCCGGCACATCCTGCTCACGTGCCCGGGCCTGATGGGTGTTCGCCTCAAAATCCCGGCCGTAGGGAACATCCTACCAACACCCGACGAGGTCTGGCGCAGTGACGTGGTGGCGGCCCTGGTGGCCGCCTTCAGGGCCCTCCAGAGCCGATGAGGCTACGCCGCGGGGCCACCCGCGGCCGGAGGGAAAATCAACAACAACAACAGCTCTGTTGGAAAGAGCTGCGCCAATATTACCAATCTTCTCACGTTTAAACACACTATGGGTTCAATTACATAAATGAATCTACAGAATAGCATCAAAGCCTTTAAATCATTTGAGAAAACGTGAGCTAGTCTGCTATGCAACACGCTATAATTACTTAAATAAGCTAAGCAGCACAAAAACCACAAAGTACCGTCGAACTCTGTCTCATCTTCCGCTCTCCGTCAGCACCCTGCCCCACTCACCGCCTGTCGTCCCATCCGTCGAGCGATGGCGGCCAGCGGCGCTGTAAGTCGGCGGCCCAGCAGACGCCGCGCCACGGTGACGTTGGCGTCAGCGGGCAGCGTCAGTCGGGTGACGCCGCCGTCCGTCCAGCCGTCAGCCAGCACCAGCCACGGCGAGGCGGCCGTCATCAGACCGGCCGCGTCCACCTGCAGTCAGTGAGAGGGATAGAGTGTTAGACCACCAAACATGGTGAGGAGGCCGTCATCAGACCGGCCGCGTCCACATGCAGAGAAAGTTTACGTGAAGTGAGCGATGTGAAAATGGACAGAGGCGACTCAGCTCATGTGTACACGACTTAGCTACACCTCGGCTACACGACTTCGCCACACCTTAATCAGTAACTGATGCAGATGAGCAGCCAAACCGACAAATGAATGAAAGTTGCTACATTCCCTCTCCCATCTAAACACACTTCAAACATCCCCTCTCTTACGAACGCTCACCTCGTCGAGGATCTCCGCCAGTCGCGGCGGCTCCGTCAGCAGCACAAACGCCCACATGGCCGGCAGAAAGTCGGCGTCCGGACGAGGGGTGTTTAGCAGCCGCAGCAGCAGACGGCGCACCTCGCCGTCCGCTGAGCCGGGTCGGACCATCTCCTGGGACAGGTGGGAGAGACGCGCCGACAGCAGGAACGCCCGGTCCGGAGCTGGGGGGGGGGGGGGGGTTGGTCAGGGTACATATAAGAATCTTGGGTCAGGGTATGAAGCAGCGAATTGTTACACTGGTTTGATGAAGGTGACGATATGATCAAGATAAATGTGGAGCATCCCAATTAATATGTCCGAGATTATCTATGTTTAAATGATCTTCACAAAAATAGCGAACTGAGACTAAAAGCAGAAGGCATATGAAAGTGCAGGTGAATGTGCAATGCCCTTAGTCGATGTGAAATCGATAATCTTCCAGCTGAGCACCGAATGATATTTATCATTTGAAGCCATTGATCCCCAGACTGTCCCACTGTCACTTGAGAGCACATTCCACTACCGACGTACGCTGTTCACGGGTTGTGACGGCGGTGACGCCCTGTTTGTTCGTGGACGTCATCCACTCGGTGACCAGGGACACCAGGTCCAGGTGTTCGGCCTTGGAGAGGAACACGCCATCACCGTCGGCCGATGGCGGCAGACAGTAGAACCTAGTCGGTAGAGGCGGTGTCAGCGGAATAGGGCATGGTGAGGCGTAAGGGAGGGCGGTGTGTGAGAAGACCTAGCCAATGTGAGTGCCAATCTCATCATGGTGAGCGGAATTACGCGAAGATACGTCTTAAGACTCTTAAGCGAGGTATTTTATTCAGTTTACAGACAGTATTTGATCTAATTACGAATCTAAAAAAGGAAATACACCAATTACATATAAGTGACACTTCCGAATGGCACGCCTCCGCTAACTGAATATACATCATCAGGCCCACCGTCGGTATTCAATGCTCACCCGTTGACCACAAAGAAGGGCACGGCCAGCTCGCTCGTCAGGCGGCGCAGCTGCTGGACCACGCTGCACGAGTTGTCCAGGGAGATGAGAGCCACCACCGGGCCGCGCAGGAACCGGCATACTGGCGATAACACAGCGCGACAGAATGTCAGGGGCTGACACACACTGTCAGGAACCAGCACACTGCACGAAAACTCGGAACACTGTCAGGGAATGAGAAAGTGGGACCCTGATGACAGCCTGCACACAGAGATACAGTACTAGAGGCTGGCCAGGCACACATAATCAGGAACCGGCAGACTGTCGAAAAAGACGTGGGACACTCATGGACTGTGATGATTATACCGGCGACAAATTATTCACGACAGTCAAGCATGCCACAGAGTAGGTATTACGTCTGTCGGTATGAAAACTGGCGGGTGTACCCGACCTTCATTTCTAACTGAAACGAATATGACAAGTCCGCCGTTTGCGCCCAGGTGCAGCGCTGCAAACGGTCCGTGAAGTAGGGCTACGTACGTTGATGCCGCAGAGTGGGCTGGCTGGCGCTGAGGTAGTCGAGCACGAGCCGCGTCTCCGGCAGCTGGCGGCCCTCGGCGTTCAGCCAGGAGACGGTCTGCTGGAGAGCGGCCTCGGAAGCACCACCCGTCCGCTCCGGCAGCACCACACCTGATAGAACAGAAAGATACGCACTGAGAGATAATGCTTTGATAAGCACACGTCTTCTGCCGACAGAAATCAGCAATCAGCATAAGCGGAGTGACAGAATAATGCATATAGGACGCAATATTGCCCTTTTGCGTGATTTTTATTTTGGCACGTTCGGTCTCGTTTATTTAGGCCTGTTGTTGTGGCACCGCATCTTAGGCAAAATATAGGACAATACAGCTAAATGTTTATTATTTAATGCATACAGTAAATAATAAACATTTGTATTCCGGCGCGACAACCGCGGTCTACCAGCCCACAAAGACGCTCTGTACCTCATAAGCCCTCAGTGACGTCACGCGCCTCAATAGCGCGGTAATGTCCTTCGGTCATTCAGCCGCCAACAATAGCATTGTGTGACTAGAGGGGCGTATCAGCGCCCCCGGGTACCCCTCCCCGCCGTAACGGTATGCGTGCCACGCGGGGCTTTCACTGGCTTTCGTCGTGTCAGCCCTGGATGCCATGTCAGAGTGCCGCTGCCGATTCAGGCCCGGGTGTGTGTTGTAAGCCCAATATAGCCTGGATAGGATGATAAAGCTTGTCGTACAAAGCCCCGGAGGTGGCAGCCAGGTCGATATGAGATACAAACTACGGACGGTAAATTGGAGCATACCCTCCACGGACACTCCACGAACAACGAACACTGTGCAAACCGTACCCACTTTCAAAGTGTCACTTGTCAGGACTAAGTGAAAGCGTGCCACAAACAGCAACTCTGGGTAGTAACTGGCTTCCAAAACAAACACAATATGTGACAGCCTTATTTTTTAAAAAGAAAAAAAAGATCAACAACGAGAAAATGCGGCTACAACGAGGATTCTGACGATTAATCGTTGTAGGAGTTTTTAGGCTTATTGTAAAAACTTTCAAGTAAAGAAGTTCGTAAGTCGCATGACTTACTCGAAATGCAAGTAAGTCGTGACTTGCATTTCGACCACATCGCTATCGGCCTAAAATGACAAAACAAAATCGCAGTCTTGTAAGTCAAATAACCAACGAGATAATTTTGGGAAAACTCTTTTCAATGCACATCTGAAAAAGTCTTCAAAGGCATGTTCGTTCAATGGTCTTAAAAAAGCACTTCAGATTACTATCGAAAAGCCTATCAATGAAAATCATTCCATTTGGTGATCCACATCATTTGTAAAATTTAAGATTTGCGATGCATCTACCAGAAACTATCACTTAAAAACGGCCACCAGACATTCAATAATAAAACTAATGATCTTCCCATGTGCTAGCATTTGTTGACGAGTTATGTGACGCTGGGTGACTGGCCCGGCGCAGACTGCAGAGTCGGTGGTTCCAGAGAGCACTGAGCAGAGTTCAACCAGGCCGCGGCACCACACCGCTTGCACCCGGTAATTTGTCCCCGAGTGGGTTTATAGGATGATGAGCCACCAGTAAACTGGTATGTCATCAGTAAAATGGAACCCAGGACATGAGCTGCACTGATATGGCGACACAATGTGCCTGTGTCAACGATCGGCTACTTTCGCCCTACAGTGGATGAGTGCAAACGAAACAAGGCTGGATGCCACAGCAACGCGGGCGATAAACGCATCGAGTAAAATCAAAGTCCCCTATTGCAACTGGCCGACCAATAATACAAACTATCCCGCTTCTGAAGCTAATGCATGTGCGAACTCCAGATGTACTTAGGTACTTGCATGAGCTAATCAACCTTGCCTGTGTATAAAATGTAGAGAAATATGGATATGTTCGCTAGCTTTCTCTGCGTCCGCAGTCCGATTGCAAAGCAAAACTGAATGAAGATACAAAAGTAAAAAACGCATCAAGTTCGAAAGCCGAACTTCACTAATTAAGCCGAACCCTCTAATTAAGCCGAAAGCCGAACCCTCCACCCTCACTAGTTAGTGAAAGTCACGGAAGTCAGCGACTGCTTACCAATTGTGACGGAGTTTGGCGCCGCCTCTGAAGTCGGTATGATAATGATGGAAATGATGAGCACATTCACACGCTGACACACACCGCGTAGAGCCGGCATGGCGCGCCTGAAATAACGAGAAAGGGTCAGAACGGGCGGCCAGGCAAAACCAAGAGAGCTATATAGTTAGGTCGCCGAAATGGCCTCAGAGAGCGTTGTGAGCCAGACGGTGTTGCGAGACGAAACAAATGGACGCTGGGAGAGAATCAGGAGAACGGACGGAGCGTGCTGCAAGTCAAAACGGGACCAATCACAGAGGGGCACAAAGTGGGCGGCGGGACCAGGGCCGACCACGGTAACTGGCACCGCGCCAGGTTCTAGGAGAAAGCGGCCGATATCTGCTGCGATACTGAACCTACTGCACGCTGGGTAGCCTCGTGGTGTCAGCCTGGCACACCGCGTCCTACCCACGTCTGCTGTCCTACCATAGGTTCGGACTTCCCTTGTTCTGAAATTCCGAGGCATCCGGTTACCCACACGCCCAGCCGGATTGGTTAGATCTAGGGAACCGTCAGGCTGTTTCATTATCAACATCACAATAAAACTCGCACCGACGGGTGTCACTTACTATTGATTGTAATTAGGACAAACAATTGAAGATGTTCACATGACGGAATAAATTGGCTACCTCTTTAGCCGGGTGATACCAAGTGTGTCACCAGCAAAACTGAGCACAATGGTTGCCATAACGACAAGTACACAGGCCAGAACCAACAGACAAGAGAAGACGCCGGACATTGACATTTAATTAGCCAGAGTGGCGTAAAGACTCGCGGTAAACGGAAACCCGAGAAGAGGAGACACTACCACATGGCGAACGCGTGGTAAAAGCTTCGGCAATTCGGCTATAGAAGCATCCGTCGGCGCTGCCAACTGAGTTTGTGAACCTGCAATGCACATTAATTGCGCATGGTTAACTGCAATTGTTGTGGAATGGATATTTATGGATAAACAAATCAATAGAATTCAATATCAATAATAGGCCAATGAAATACTTTCATTTTGTTGTGAAAATTGCATCTCATCACTTAGGCGATCCAGCCAGGTCAGGTTACTCTCGGAAGTTTGGTACGACTCTCGCGAGATTAAGCGGTAGGTTTTGCACTTTTACATTTCCGATTATATCTCAGAAACTAATCGGTCTACGATAAAGCCATTTTACACGATCATGGCCGGCTTGTTACCCAACAAGTCGATCGCATCTTCAACACTTAAAAGACGACGAAAATATAGCCTGAAGTACACTAATTTTTCTAGGTGCAAAACTTACCGCTAAAACCCGCGAGACCTGTACGTTCAATTTCTTTTGAACGTTGTACTGTGCATTCTGCCTAACATTCAGAAACATAAACTATCTACTGTGCGTCCATTTTTCTGCGTTCCATTTTACCATGCTATAGAGCACGTGATTAAAAAGTTTTCAATGAAAACTTTTACTTAAGTTTTCCCACCACATGCACTTAACGCTTTTAGCCTGCATCGACCAGACCCTTTCACTAACGCTCACCTCATTCGTTGCTCACGCGAGCGAGGCAGGCCCGTTTGTCCTCATGGAGACAACACAACAACTCGTACTCAACCTCCGGTCGCCATTACACACACACACAACTCACAGCTCCCAAGCAGGCAATGCTACCCGCTTCCGGTGTCCACAGCGGACCCAACGGTCACAAAACGGTCAGAGAACGGTCAGAGCTGACCGGCGCGGCGGCGGACCGGACCGACCGCCGCTACCCAACGGTCAGAGACGACTGACCCACCGATCGAACGACGGCGGAACGACTGAAGGTCACTGACGACGGAGTGACTGGTCCTACCCTTCACTCAATATACCCTGGGAGTGACCAGTGACCAGCAGCCTCCGACCGACTTGGCAATGGAGCAATGGCAGCAATGGCAGCGCCTGGTCACCCCAAACGCTGACCGGGGGAGAAGAGGCGTAACACAGCGAGGGAGCGTAAGGCTTGCTTTATATATATCCAGTCCAAATTATGTGTGTACATTTCCGAACTCGTGGAAGCATCGGTTCAATGAAAAACAAAATGTTAAAGTAACATTAGGACCGAACAGAAGCCAGACAGCGAAGTTCTAGCGTACATACCTGGCTATCCGAACCAGTGGCTGCCCATGCACTCCCGGGTCCACTCTGTCTGACACATCCAGCACCAGTGGAAGCCGCACTGCGTCCGCGGGCAGATCATGTGCATACAGCCGCCTGTAACGAAAGGAACACATAGGTTGGCGCGCTACTCAGTCGCACCCAACAATCGCACTGTGTCCGCGGACAGAGCATGTGCATACAGCCGCCTGTAACAGGAACACAACGGTCAGTCACATCTCACACAGCCGCCTGGAACAGAGGGGACACAAGAGTCAGCTGGTCACATCTGACCCAGCCGGGACACATCATCATCTGTCGCTGGTCAGCAGCCGAAAATTAGAAGCCACCGTGTGCTTTAACCATTCCAATGTGATTTACCAGCAACCAACGAAAATGTCGACTTAGGTTCGGGATACTACGATGTCTACTGTCAATAATGTCAAAGAGTCAATCAGCTAGTTTTAACCGCCATCGAGCGTCAACGGGTGACCATCTCGCTTCAGTTTAAGGCATTAAAAGGGTCATCAGCGGTCAGCGCACTGCTAGTTGCAGAGCTGCTGTAATGGGTTTCCATCAGGTGCCAAACAGTCACCGAGTCTACACCAAACCAAGCTCATTCATCGGGTGGTCACAAGTCCAGGGTCAGGAGACGGGTCGATGTAAGCAAAGGCCACCGGCCGATACATCATAACGGTAAATTAACACACCGGCAACTGGAAAACTTCGCTAGTGGCCAGCTGAATAACAAACTTTTCCAATAATTATTTCCGTCTATCTTATTCCCGGTGGGCGAGAGCGTTCGTTTGTTGCCATTACCGAGTCCCTTGTGGTAGGTGGCGGGTTACCAATAGTTCACACAGGAGGAGACCGGCGGTTACCAGTGGACCCCGCTGACAGTCATTGAGGCACAACTCCGCCGGTACGGTACACCACGGCCGGCGTTCGGCCTATACCGTGTAGCTCGACATACAAACCAGTTTGTCACACGATAGCAAAAACAGCGAGCAATTAATGTCGAACAACGAAGCCATAAACCTATTCCCTAATCTCGGGCTATAATAAGTCAAAGCCCACAGCAGCATATGTCAACATCGGACCGCTGCGGTCCTCGCGACCACCGCCTTGCTCGCGCCCGTCCCACCGTGGCCAAGCACGGCGGTTGTAATACCCCGTGAGCGGTTCACAGCGCGCACCGGGACAGGGTCACGGGTAAGCACCCATAAGCATCGCCGTTACAGAGTGTGGCGCCGGCTCGAATCGATAGCGCTCGTCAGCGGGCTTTCATTGGCAGGGCCGCATGGACCGCCTTCACTGAGTGGTAAACGGACGGCGGCGAGTGGTGGCAGACGGCCTAGTCTTAGAGATTCGAGAACCATTTATTACAAGGGTTTTCAGTAGAACTTCTGGCTAGCACCATTCGACCTAGGGCTTTATATTGCCAATGCTTTAGGATTTCCTCTTAATCAATGCCAGTTAGCGGAAATATTGATTAAGTTGAGCACAATGGCAGTGTCACAACAAGAGGATAAGAGGAGTCAACACTCGGCAAAACGACACAAAGATCGCGGACGGTGGAACAATAGTGACAAATGGGGCTTGCGAAGAGTGGCAGCTGAAGGTCGGAAAAAAACGGGCCGTAGTGTATCCACTATTCATCCACGTTATGCAGGACAGGTGGTGCCTTACCAATACATATTTGTGATGTCCCACCTACGCCGAAGTGCGAGTCAAATACTTCCCCTTCAGCCACCACACAACGAAGACAATCTTACAGAATTAGTGCCTGTTTAGCTTCAAAATACGAGAACACGTTTTACTCACATAAAACTGCGCGATTCTTCCGATCCAAAGATATCACCCTCCCTGGAACACTCGATTGCGATTCCCGAATCAAGTGTCTCTCGAATGAACTATGCGCTTCCCGTGTGCTAAGTACTTCAAGACGTTTTCGTTATCCAAATAAGCCACCCTGGGACGGTTCGGCCATTCGTTTGTATTCAGCTCTGATACCTGTGCGACTATTTAATGTCCGTGTTCGGGCACGCGTGTTGTGCGATCACCTGCCTGCTACCGGTGGCAGTTGGCGCTGGGTGGTGCTGTGAGCTATAACGGCTGAAGATACCTGAGTTCAATGCGACATTATTTGCAGGGTCTACAGTTGTGTTACTTTCCATTGTATGCACGTTTCGACGTAACGCAGACGCAGTGTCTAAAGCAAGGACGTACTTCCTTAATCAAGGAAGAAAAATAGGTAGCTAAAAATAAGATCGCAGCCTGTCAATTAACATTCATATCAGAACAGAAACGTTCTGATCCGTCCCCGCCTTCCCCTCCGGCCTCCACAGTTGCTTACCGTCTCGTTCCGTGGGCGTGCGACACTTGGGGCATGGCTTAGTGATGACCTGGATGGTGGAACGCGTGGCCTCCTCCCAGCGCGCCTGAGCCACCTCGTCCACACCGAACGCACGACCGCCACCTGTCGGACATAGAGGAAACGTCAGCGGCGCAGCGCCGGCAGAGATGTGACGAACTCCTGATGCTGATACTGATGACTAATGATTGATAGGGAAATACAGGGACGTCGAATGAAGGACGGTGATTGAACTCGTGAGCAGAAGCTTTCCAAGTTTTCAGTGCCGTTGAGTGTGGAAATGGTTACTGGGTTATAGAGAAAGAGTCCCGTCTAGAGATCACTGGATCACTGCACTGACCTGCAGTCGGGGCACCGACGCCACCGCCAGGGTCACATTCGCCCAGGTGATACCCCTGAAGACAGTCCCGGCAGAACACGTACTGAAAAAAACGGACGGACAGCTGTAAGCAAGGAGCACTGAACATCACAGCGCATACCGACAGATTGGCACAGCTTGAGATAAATATCGGTACTGAATCAGTGTGAGCGATAACAGAAACGTTAAAAACGGCGAATGAAAGCACGAGCAATGAATCATAAATCAAGGCAAATATCAACGAGGTTAAAGACGTTACTTAGTCCGCTCGTCAGTCAATCGATCCCCGCGCCGCTCACCTCACAGCCCTGTTGGCACTGGACGCGGCGACACTCGGGGTCGGGGATGAGACCCATCCCGCAGCCGGGTCGGGGACAGAGCACGCCTCCGGCCGCCAGCACACACTCCTCGGCGGCGAACCGCTGGTAGCGCTCATACTGTCAGAGAAGGGAGGGGAGGTTAGAATATAGCCACTGGTAACGCTAGTACTGTTAGACAGAGGAGAGGAGACCGACAAGAATATAGACGCAGGTAGTACTCATACTTTGTCAGATAGAGGGTGGATGTGGCAACTGCGCAGTTGTTACCCACCTCAGAGAGGCTAGCAGGAACAGTCATTTTTTCCAAAATAGTATAAATGCAAACACTAAACAGGAATCAAATAGCCGACTTGTTGAGCTCAACGTCAATCACCACGATTAACACGATTCTTCGCCACCAAACCCACCAACTGATTTCCACACACGATCGCAATATTCGAGCTATCCGGCATCGAGCTATATGCGTCCGTCGTTCTCGCAACCACCTCACTAGTCACTACACCACCGTTCGTCGTCCACCACCCACCTGTTCGTCTCCCATCATCCGGAAGTGGTGCACCTCTCTGATGACCGACTGCGGACAGCCGGCCGGACAGCCCAGCGTGAAGCCCACCTCGGGGTCGTTGAGCAGCTGGCGCTCATCCAGCCGGCTGCGACAGTAGGTGACGAAACACTCCAGACAGGTGACGTGGCCGGCGGCGCACGGGTAGGCCACCACCCGGTCACTGGCGGGCCAGTGGAACAGTCAGAATCACCAGAGGGACAGCACTGCAGAAGAGTACACTCGGCCGCGCACGGGTACGCCACCATCCGGTCACTGGCGGACAGAGAGAACGGTCAGAATTACCGGGGCGTCGGATGGAGACAGTCTCCAAAGTGAAACAGGCAGTGACAACTGGATATTTAGCACGGGAGCTTCTCTTCATTGGAGCTTTCATTTTATCAGCAAGATCGATTAGATTCCATGCCAAGGATATCATGTATCGACGAAAAAAGCATAAGAGTAAACCCCTCGCTTCTCCACAAAAGCAAAGAGGTCAGTAGTGACTAGTGAGCCGTAAAATCAGCAGCAAATCAATCAAGCAACAACGGAACCTCGCCAACCCCATGACTCCAATCGACATCTTACATCAACTCCTTGCCAAAGCACACAGCATCTACTGTGGGTCCAGCGACGCAGACCACCTGGACTCAGTGTGGACTCACCAGACGTCGGTGCAGGCCAGACACGGGATGTGCCTCAGGTTGTTCCGTACCAGGTCCAGAGGCACCGCCTCGTCGCCCTCGCCGAGACTGGCGTGCTCCGCACACTTGAAGAAAAACTCGGCGAACTCTCCATCGCAGTCGGATGTGTCACAGGTACCTGGTCGAGTACAAAGAGAGAGACGCCGCATGATACAGGTGACACAAGCAGCAGCTGCATCCCACTAAGGACTGGTCCAGGATCCTCAACACTCACAGTTTATACAGGATAGTACAATTTACAAGCATAATTATAAGCCCTCTCGACGATTAGCGAGGAACGCAGCCCCACGCCATCGCTCCTATGTTCCCGATCACTCACCCGGCACCCGCCGCGGCCGCAGCACGTCCTCCCAGGAGCACGGGTCGCGGCGCACCGTGAACGCCCCCTGGCGGCAGGTGGCGCAGCGCACGCGCAGCTTGCCGCGTCGCAGCTCGCCGCACGGCTGCGAGCAGAACACGTAGAAGCTGGACTGGGTGGCTGATCCGCCATCTGCGCTGGCATCGCCTCCGCCGCCGCCACCCTCGGCACCTGAGGCAGAGGAGTGTTGTCAGGGATGGAGAGCTAACCTGATCAGTCCGGGGAGGCTGGGAATGGGAGGGGTAAGAGCCAGGGGGATTGGTTAGAGTTGAGAGAATAACCAGGGGGCCAGAGAGACTTATGTCTGCCTTATGGGCACCTGGTCCATGACTAATGGTTAGAGATGGTGACAACTCACTTTGGGGCAGCTTAGGGAAAGTCTGTAGGGAGACAGGAAAATGTTGATAGGGCCAGTGTCAGGGACTGGTACTGATAAGCCACTGAGGGTTTAGACTTTATTTATACTTGGTGCTGTTTTTATGCCCCATTTTAGCAAAAGAAACTACAAATCAGCACACCATACCAGAGAGGTGCTCACCTGTGGCTGGCTCAGGCTCCTGGCCATCCAGAATCTTGGTGATGGTCTTGTTGAGAGGTTCACTCTCTGAGGCTGTCCGCTCTGCTGGACCTCCAGAAACACGATGAACCAGCTGGACAGCATGCAGGACACTCTGCTGTCCCAGGTCACATTCCTGCAAACCACAATGTTACACGATCACATGAAGTCTTTCATTTGTATGACAATTTGGATTTATTATAGCTTATCCAGGTTTTTTCTCAAATGTATTTCAATTTCTAGCCATTCAATCACCCATTCAGGCTTAGAATCTAAAAATACAGCCATCAACTTTGCATTAAAAGCTTGCAAACATATTCAATCAAGAAAATAGGTAACTAAAACAACAATAATATGTTAATATACTACCTTGACTTGAATGTCATTTCTCAGCTCGTGGCCTGCAAAAATAATCTTCAAATCTTCTGCATTGACATTCAGCTTCTCCGCAATGGTCTCCTTGACTTTCTTGATTGACCACTCTGGCTGAACATTGATTGCCACATTATTGGCAGTCTTTGGTCCAGCACCTTGTCGAGACACCATTTTAACAAATATCTTAAGTCCATTTGCATTGGTGTCTTCAATGCGACTCAAACCAAACAGCTCAGCGATGGCCAGCATGACAGATTTGATTAAATCAAAGAGGAAAAATCCCATTTAAGGGCAGGCTTTTTACTTCCTTTCCCTTAAATTTGTTTCAGGTGTTTTGATCCTGTAACATAGGACATACCGTTGGAAAACCATTAGGTTCAAGGCAGTAGGTATATGTCAGGTTGAGGTAAAACAAGCAAAGACGAGCTGGCATTAGTAAAGCATTAGCAGACGTCACACGAAGGTTTTCCAACCAAGGAGAGGCGCTGTAAGTTTGTAGGTTCATAGGTTGTAGGGTAGGTTTGTAGGTTGTAGGTTTTTAGGTTGTAGGTTGTAGGTTAGGTTAGGTTTGTTTAGATTTTGTTAGAAAGAAGTACCTCCAGGCATAGCGCCTCTCCTTGGTTGGAAAACCTTCGTGTGACGTCTGCTCTACTAATACCAAATCGAATAGACACATTAATATGCACATTATGCACATCACCTTCTTAAAATCCAAGGCAAAAAAGCAAGGGGCAGTAATCTTGAGGGGCACCAACGCACATTGATAATGCGGCCGATAGCCATATAAGGAGTGCGCTAGAAATGAAACAGATGCGCATATTTTCTAGCCATTTTCTGAAGAGATGAGACCACTATATAAAGCTGGACTATGTTGAGCGATAAATGCTCGCAAGATATTCGGCGCTACGCGCCCTAAACCACAACAACAGTTATATGAAGATATACAATGTAGCTCCAAAGCTCGGCAAAGTCGCAAACCGTGGTGCAACCAAGGCCTGACGCAGTGAAGGCACGCAATGTCGAAAATGCTTAGCATTACAAGTTACAACTGATTCTTATCTCTGGCAGGCGATGACCCTAATTGCCAGATAATTGTATATTGCAGACCGGCAATTGGCATTTGGGGCTCTGATGAACCATAATTTTTCGCAATTCTCCCAACATAACATCAAGCCATGCCTAAGCCGCACAAGTCCGATCAATAAATATATTAAAAATATGCTTAACTTAGGTATAGTCTTCTAGTCTCATTCCATGAACGCGTTGGAATGCCTGTTTGGAACCACCGACTTACGCCCGAAGTCGACCACCGCGCAGTGCGTAATATCCGCATGTCAAAACATACTGTCGCATACATGAGAAAATATATTATCCCCAATATCACAAGAATGTCCTCTTGCACTCCATGCTTTGGATATATGATCATAGGCTCTATCATAAATACACACTATATACACGATGAATGCGGTCCACGTACCGCCAGGATGACCGCTTGTTCTGTGGGCCCGCACCGTCCCGACCTGCCGCCGTCAGTTCACAGTCAGAGGCCGTGCGACAAACAGCATAAGGACCCAACTCAGGACGGCGCACAGCCCGCGCAGCAGCAGCGAACGTGGAGAAGCAGTCACAGACTGCAGCATACGTAACATCCCCGATATACGTCAGATACTACCGGGCGAGACCTGGCCTCGTGAAACTACACAAACGTAACGTGGCGGAAACCTCTCGGCAACAACAGCAAGCGTGGAGGCCTGGTGCGACTAGAGTAACTACGCAACATCAGCAGCGACCAGCTGCTGTGATGAAACACCAAACAGGGGCCAACAAAGGCACGGCAGCGCACCCCGCCGCCGTCCGGAATCTGATACATCTGCTGGACAAACCATGCCCGCCGGACGAACCATGCCCAAACTACAACCAGTCCCATATCACAATCACAATAGCAAGAAACCTTTGATATATGTTAGCCCAGCAAACCCCGTTAGCACAAAAAACAAACATTTAGACTGGCGACTAAGTACAACCAAGATTAAACAATAACGGAACATATTTTCTATCAGCATACTTTGCATAAACCCCTTATCAATACGATTTTACCGATAAATGTAACACGCCTCCCGGTTTGGCAAAGAGCTGTCGAGCCCGACATGAAAATAGTCGCACAAAATACTTCTCGCGGTACAATTCCTTGTCATAAGATGATGTAATGTTGCCTTTGGCCCGCGGTACAATTCCTCGTCATAAGATGATGTAATGTTGCCTTTGGCGACGACCCATTACACCATTCATTTCCCATGGTCAGAAAATAAGCACCCTGGAAGCTGGAGGCGCTCATAGCGCGGATGATCACGCATAGCATCACTGGGACTCGGCGAGCACACTGGAATGGCCGCCCGCCCGCCGCGGGCGCTGCGACTGGGCTGCGACACACAGCGGCTTAGAGAAGGACGGCTCCGAAACCCGACACAGGTACGGGGAGCGGCAGGAGCGCCCACTCCACTGACTAGAGCGGCCAGCTGACGGCTGTACCGACACAGACAACCGGACATACAGTCACACTCGGACCCGTCAGGACACACCCTCAGACACACTGGGACACCCAGGCACACAGACACAGCAGGCACAGCATCGAGGCATTCGCAAATATACCCAGTGGGGGAGAGGGCAGCTAACGGCAAGGACAGGTAGAGGTCAGCACCTACTCGACCCCGGATGTCGAAACGATAAAACGCGATAACGCCCTTGGGCCTCACAGGCGATCGATTCTGGACAGCGGCAGTCATCACACATCGAGATACATTCGGAAGGATTAGGAGCGTATCTCACACAATCTAGGCGCCCAGCTATCTACGGCACAGCTCAAATGGCCGCGACGGATGCCGGGATATGACGGTAGCCCGGCGACCACCCAACTAACTACAACTACAATAGAAAATAAATATTATTGTACATCACGCAAAAATGAAATAAGGCGTGGAATTGGCTCAGCGTTCCCCAGCGCTTCTCCAGTAATGGCGTTTTCCGAACGGAGACTTCTGATTGTCCCTTCGAGGCTGAAGTAAGCAGTGTCACGGTTTGACAACCTTGCATACTCGTCACTCTCACCTTCCGTCGTTCCTCCCATTATGCCACTCTCAATTACAATCTAACTCACGCTCATCAGTATCCTCTGACAAGAGAAGTGTGTCGGAGACCCCTCAGAGCGGCGGGTGTTCCACAGTGGCAGCGGTCCACCGTACAGGACGGTCACAGCCGCTACCGCTGCTCTCCCAGAGGCTCCAGGAAGTCTCTGGCCAGGACGGCCTCCACGGCGGCCACAGTCTCCTGTTCGGCGGACGGCCGAGGACCGCGGTCGGCCGGTGTCGCCGGGCTGGGGTCGCTGGAGCGCGGCCGGCCGCCGCCCAGAGCCATGAAGAACGGGTACAGGTCGGCCGGCTGCCGGACCGAGGTGACGTGTAGCAGCGGTTGGTGCGGCGCAGCGCGTAAAGGCTCCGGTGGTGAGCCGCGACACTGCCGGGCAGATGGACGGAGACATGGGTCAGATAGGGAGTCACACTATCGCATATGAATCGTACAGACGTCGACGAGGAACGTTCGTGCCATCACACAAAGACCGCACAGAAAGGACGGTTAATGCCGTCAGACTAAGCCAACGAGAGGTAGTAGCCAAACGTGATCAGAGAAAGGACAAAAACAAACCATTTGCACCAAATCACATTTAAACTGACCAGTTGGAGGACCAGCTGCGTCAGCCGGGTGACGTGGGGCACAAAGTCGCGCGGCTGCAGCTGCTGTCCGCCGGCTGAGGTGTCCGGCACGGCGGCCGGTGACGATTCCTGGTCCCCGGAGCCGACAAACGCCCACCGGTACCTGACGGCGGGGCAGCGGCAAGCGGGTTAGCGGAGCGCAAGATAGTGACAGCAGGCCAGCCGGCGGGGGAATGACGTCAACACGGCAGCACACCCAAAAAGTTATGCATAGAATTTCTCATCCCATGTAGAATATAACGTATGCGGTGAAACTTAGAGAGGCAAAAAATATTGCAATTGGGAGAACGGCTGAACGTAACACTTCACACAACATCTTGCTCTCATACTCTCAGTTATCACTATCTTCAATACGCATACACAGATAGCTGCTGCTGTCCACGACCCATGCTCCCAGCAACGACCAGCGAGGCCATGACTCACATCTGGAACTGTGGCAGCCGGTGTGCGGGCAGCGTGAGGCACAGGTCGAGCAGTTTGCAGGCCTCCAGGTGGAGCTGGAGGGCGCCCGAGTGACCGGTGGCCGAGAGACCGTTACTGGAGCCCGACCACGAGCCGTCCAGCGCCGACAGCTTCTTCAGCTGCTGACTGTGGGAGAGAGTGGAGATGGGGAGGTGTCAGAGCGGGGCAGAGGAGGCCGGTACAACGACAGCTAGAGATCAAAGAAAAAAGGTAAATCATATCACCGATTTTTTCTGTCAAATTGTGGCAAAAACTCAAGTTTGCACAAGAAGGAACTGCAGCTGTTGAATGATATGCATCCTCCCTCTGGTAATCTGTGTAAACTGATAGCACAATGCAGTCTCGTTTAACGCCATCATCTTACAGTAAAAGCCATAATAGCAGAAAGGCTTCTGTCGTAGTGGAAAAGCAAGTGACTTTCAAATCAATTAGATAAAGGAAATATGAAATTGAATGAGAAAAAGATGTGAATTAAGAGTGAGTTATCAGGTGGGTACGATGCGGAAAGCGTAGAGCAAATAATGAATACCTACCTTTCCGATCTGTTCGGGTTGCCGCAGTAAAAATGAAAATAGGACGTGAACATTAATTATTTGGTCATATTTGCTTCATGAAATGGACATGAATCTGCACATTGCAATGACGTGTGACATAACAACACTCTTGACCATAACATTGCTATCTTCTTCGCCAGTCACACCATTACAACCACTACCTGCATCATCTCTAACCACCGGGCCCATCGTGCCCCCCTTCTCCCACCCTTCCCCACCCGTCACTTTTCAGTCCACACCCACCTGAACTCGTCGCTCTGCATGCTGAGCTGGTGCTCCATCTGCAGCAGCACCTGAACCAGCTCGGTGATGATGGAGGGCCACAGGGATACCACGTGCCGGGACGACATGCGCAGTAGCAGCACTCGGAAACAGAGCAGGACGGCCGACTGGATGGACGGAGCCACCTGCGGCAGCCGCAGCGACTCGGCCAGCTTCTCTGAGGGACGGGGGAGAAGGGGGAGGGTCACGGTCCGGGCGGTATACACTATCGGGATAGGAAGGTTAGAAACAATAAATCGTGAGAATAAGTACAAGAAATGCCATTCAATTCACGGCTGATCTAAGGAAAACTTCAGTTGAGCAAATGACGTCGCATGCAATCAATAAAATCAAATAAAGTGGCATTGTCAAATACGTATTAGTCTGATCATACTGAGATGGAATATCAGACTACCACTCCCATTTACTTCCACCTCACCAAAGTCACAATGTAGACTTCTGTAGCATCATAGCCACCCATCCCACTCCGCCTCTCACCCTGAATCTCGGGCAGGTGCGGCTGGTACTGGTCCTCGTCCGAGCAGAACACCACGAACGCCAGCCGTTTGAGCAGCTGGGCGCGCAGCTCGTACTCTGCCTCCCGCGAAGAGAACAGGTTCAGCGTGCCCGGCTGCGAGACCACCACGCGCGCCAGCAGCTCCTTGAACGTCGTCTTGTCGTGTGTCATCAGGTTGTCGATGGTGGTGCGCCAGAAGGGCAGACACTGCTCCTGCATGCTGAAGAAGGCCGGCTCGAGCAGCAGGTCGAACGCCTCGCGCCGCCACGCGCGCCGCGAGTACTGGTACTCGGAGAGCGAGGCCAGCAGCTGAGAGCACGCCAGGAACGAGGCCGTGTTCGCCGGACTGACGGCCACACAGAGAACATGGTCAATGTCAGCCGATGGCGAACAACACGATGAAAACAAATCACCTAGCCTATCAGCCGGTGTCAGATGTCACAAGATCATGGTCAAATAATGCTCACAGACATTAGCTATATACACTATGACTAGCCCTGTATGCCCTGTAGCCGTATATACTGTATGGCTACCGTGACACATTGCTTCCAGAAAACGCTGAACAGCCGAGCGGACAGCTGGTAGCCTCACCTGTGCTCCTTCAGGTAGGGTGTCACGTGGCACATGACACCGGTGAGCAGCGGCAGTACGCGGTCCTTCTCGTCCGACTGGTACAGCACGTCCAGCAGCGGCGCCAGCAGCTCGGCCAGGATGCGCAGCGCCTGCACACTCCACTGGGCCGCCTCCGGGCTGTGACCTACAGACAAAACGGACGGGTAAGGACACGGACTGGCACGATGTTCAGCCAGCGATGGCAGGTAACGCCGCAATCCAGAGAACGGCTGGTCCATATACTGAGCCACGATAAGACGGCAGACATGCTTGTGCATTTCGATAACAAACCGACAAATAAATCTTTAAAATACGCTTATAAAAGACTAGACCGACAGAGTAAAACCATTGGCTGAATATCTCCCCGGCGTCACTCCAGCAGCCGCACTGACCGTTGCTGGTTGGTTTCCCCGGCTCGGGACTGGCAGTCTGGTCTCGCTCAGATGAGCCGCCGGGCACCGCGCGCACTGCCAGGTTCCTCCGGAGCCAGGTGGTCTGTTCCAGACAGGCGCCGGCCACCGCGCTGCAAGCCTCCACCAGCTACAGGCAGGGGGCAGGGGTCAGTCAGTGTGATACATGCGCCGGCCACCGCACTGCATGCCTCCACCAGCTGATGAATGGAGATCTTCCTACCCTCTTTTGTCAGTTCTGCTTCAGGTAACTCCAGGGAATTCAAAAACCGAAAGTTCACCAAGACGTTCTATCCACTCCAGCGAACTGCATTAAAGTTCTATCCCACTCTCCAGTCTCTACCTTCCTTATCGCCCCCTTCCTTTTCCTCGGCCCGATTGCTCACCTTAGCGGCCACATCCTGCAGGTCCCGCTGGTCCTTTCGCTCTGGCAGCGGCGGCGCGCGCTGCACGTACTCATTGAGCACTGCCAGCAGCAGGAACTGGGCCGGCGGCGTCAGCTGGCCAGCGTCACGCAGCAGCACCAGCAGCGACGACCAGCACTCGGCCAGCGCCGGCGCCGGCACTGAGCGCAGGTGGCACAGCAGGAACTGCAGCGCCGCGCACGGCAGCTGGGAACGCTGGGCGTGGAGGGGAGGAGTGTAACTAGGGGTAAGGGGTAAACTCAAGACATCTAGACACCGCGTACCGCAACAGTGACTGCTGCAGGGATATGAAAACAGTTTCAGTGTATAAAACCCTACCACCCCATTCCCCTAGTTCAACGGCCTTAAACTGGTCCCAGTGCAGGTTTCTGCGGAGGCCACTCCCGACTCACGTTCAGGCCGATGTTGGGCGGCTGTTTCACCACGGAGCGGACCGTCTGTACCAGGTTATCGATGGGGATCACACGGATCGACGAGACGAGATCCACCAGCACCAGCTGGTCGGCGCAAAACTCCGGGATGCTCTGTAACACGGGCACACAGCGACGTTATAGTGGCTGCTCATCCTCTGACGGAAACAAGACCGTCCAGAATTATTGCTGGTCGGCTTTAGGCAGTTGCGATGATTATTGACTTCTGATCTTGAAGAACACAAGGTTTGATAATTTGACACAGCCAGGAATGTTTGCATGGCAGCACATAAAGAAAAACATCAAACCATATTAATGTTGCTGCCATATTAAGTTCTGATACGTGCAAATAGCAGTTAAGTCAATGAAAAATGCAATTGCATCCAGTCCATTTGGATCTATCTATCCAGACAAATAACCGCCAGCGCTACAGGACAATGATCACAACGACTCTAACCGCACCTGTTTGGGCTGTCCGCGCAGACGGCGCTCGTGCCAGGCGGCGGCCACGGCGGCCACAAAGTTGGCCGGGTGGTGGTGCGATATGGGCGACAGCAGCTCCAGCACCTGCTGCTTCACCATGCGCGGCACGCCCAGGATCCACGACGGAGACTCGCTGCAAAGTGGGGCACAGGGGAGAGGGAGTCAGTCATCTTACAGCTGTGGGACGGTCACCGAGGATGAGCAGCCGGACGTTGAAAGAAGA